CTGGGTGCAGTGAAGAAGATTCTTGGAATGAAGATCATTAGAGATCGTTCTAAAAGAATGTTGTGGATGTCACAAGAAGACTATATCAAGAAAGTCCTTGAAAGGTTCAACATGCATAATGCAAAACATGTGCATGTTCCGCTACTTGGACATTTGAAACTTAGTAAGACACAATGTCCAGAGAATGACCAAGAAAAAGAAGAAATGAGCAAGGTGCCCTATTCTTCAGCTGTGGGTAGCCTTATGTATGCAATGGTTTGCACAAGACCAAACATTGCTTATGCGGTAGGAGCTGTGAGTAGATTCCTATCAAACCCAGGAAAGGAACACTGGAGTGCTGTGAAATGGATATTGAGGTATCTGAAAGGAACTGCCAAAAAGTGCTTATGTTTTGGAAATGAAAATCAAATGCTCACTGGATATGTGGATGCTGATATGGCCAGAGACGTAGATTCAAGAAAATATACATCCGGATATTTGATTACTTTTGCAGGGGGAGCTGTCTCATGGCAATCGCGACTACATAAGTGCGTTGCTTTAAGTACCACAGAAGCAGAGTACATCGCAATCACTGAAGGTTGTAAGGAGATGATGTGGATGAAGAAGTTCCTGCAAGAGTTAGGCCAGAATCAAGAAAGTTATGTTCTCTATTGTGATAGTCAAAGTGCAATTCACCTCAGCAAGAATTCGACATATCATTCAAGGTCAAAACACATTGATGTGAGGTATCATTGGATACGTGATGTGTTAGAGAATAAACTGCTGCAAATAGAGAAAATTCACACCAATGACAACGGGGCAGACATGATGACAAAACCTCTACCAAAAGAGAAGATAGAGTTCTGCAAACAAGCTGCTGGATTGGCGGCAACCCCAAACTAATCAAGGCATTCCCCTATAGCTGGAGGGGGAGAAATGTGGGGTCCAGCCATTGCCACATGGCCACCATACAATTGTCAAGATGGAAGGTTGCATGTGATGACAAGTAACAAGGTATATGTTGTACACATGTTGTGGTGCATGAGTAACACATGTTGTGGTGCATGAGTAACACATGTTGTGATGCATGAGTAACACTTGGTGTGGTGCATGTATTGCAAGGGACACTTGGTGTTTTGTATGAAAGGAAAATGACAAGTGTCTTCATGCATGTAAGGCAACTTTGGCTTGCCTCTCCTATAAATAGGATCATAAGCAAGCCTTCACAACACACAACAAGAGAAGAACAACAAGTAGCAAGAGAGAAAGAGAGCCTTGTTCAAGAGAGAAAATCCTCATAGAGAGTTTCTTGTGAGAGAAATAGTGAGCCAATTTGTGAGAGTGTTTCTTACAAATTGAGAGATACATTGTAGTGAGATCCACCTAAGGGTGAAGTTGTTGTATTCCCATTATCATTATAGTGGATGTTTTAAGAGGCCCAAGGGTCCCGTGGTTTTTCCCTTCCTCACATTGAGAAGGTTTTCCACGCTAAAATTCTCTTTGTGTCATTACGCTTCTATTTCACGTTTCCGCAAAGTGCCTATTTTGAGTTCACAGAGGAGGAAAATTATGCAGGCATTTCCCACACTTAATCCCTTTAGCAGCTTGAATTCTTCTTCTTTTCTCTATGTAAATAAACCCACAGTTTCTTCTTGAATGTGGATTTTGTTCTTTGAAATTTTTTTGAAATTAATGCTCTTCTGATCTTGTTGTGTGGTTGTGGATATTTAATGGTTTAACTTGCTGTTTTTTAGTGTATGTGGATATAAAGCTCAATGGTTATGACCATCTTTCCTTGTTTCTTTGTCTTACAACTCATGATTATGGATTAAGATTTTGATTGCTTCTGTTTCTCCATTTCCATCAATGGACTCAATTCTATTTCACACAATTCAGCTTCAACATCAAATGGGGAATTTTGAGTAGCAAACACTGATGATAGTTCTTCCCAGCATCATAAAACAGGACTCCTGAATTTTACAAGTAATTTTATCCTTGCATTCTCTTCCACATCTCTGTTGCCTGTAAAACTCATGGCGAAGAAGTTTCCAATATATGTATCTCCTTCTGAATTTAATGCGGCTCATGGTTTGAAAAGGTGAATTGGAGATTTTCAGCCGAATTTCCAATCTCAGTATTAAGGCTCTTATTCTGCGAGTCATAACATATAGTGAAGGTGGGAACGAGAAAGGCGAATATGCAGCTCGAAAAAATTCACTTCATGCGTGGTATAAGTGCTGGCTTCAACGGAGGACGGGGAAATTTCTGTGAATGGGATTTTATATTAACTTAGAACAACACCAAAGTTCATGTATTTCTTTGCATTTTTATTTTCTGAACAACCAATTCTCTTTGAAGAAAATTCCTTTGAACTTGTAGTTTTGAATTTGAACTTCGTAAGAGAATCAATCTTGTACATCTTTGGAATCTGCCATGTTATCTAGACCAATGCGTTGGATTTACACATTTGAGTTTTTTTTGTACCAATTGGAGTCTTTGTTTGTGATACTAGATATTCATGGAGTGCTTCCAGGAGGAAAATTAGTAACAGACATTTCAGTGCTTTGGTTCATTGGAGAAATAATAAAAATAAAAACAGAGTGCTCTATGGGGCAGAATTATATGAGGGCCCCCCTGTTGCCACTAACAATGTTGTTTTTCCCTAAAAGACTGTTGGAAATTCCATTTGATATAGTAGACTACCCCAAGAGGTTCGGTAGTCTGGGAACACGAGGACTGATATCTTCACTTAGAATTTGACCTCTAGGTAGGGATTGTTATGCCATTTTGACGTTTTTTTAGGTAGTTCCCAAATTGTAGCGGCTTTGGCGAGATTAGAACGTTGAAGCATGATCCTGGAGTGTTCGTTTGGTTTAGGTTGACGTTATGTTGGCTTGGTCAAATTTGCAAGTTTTATAACATGATGTTTTAGAATTGAGATTAGCTTTTAAGGTTAAATTTCTTGTATGACCACGCTTGAATTGTTGAATTCTCATGGTGCCATTTGAAAAAAAAACTCCTTTCATTTGCAAAAAAACTCATAAATTCAAAAATGTGACATCTTGAATCATGACTTGATTATACTTTCTCTTATGAAGTACACTTAACTCTTGTACACTTTGAATCATTCTTGCAATTTTAAACTCTTTATGATAACTTTGAAAGCTCTTGAATCCCATGATAATTTGAATTTGAATTTCAACTTGAATTTTCTTGAAGTTATTTTTTTTTTAATAAAGCTTGATGAAATTTGGATACTTAAACCTTATGACAACATGAATCCTCTTGTAGGTATCACCAATAACTTGTATTCGACATGAACTTGAACTTTGAGGAAACCCTATAAATGGACCTTCCAATTTTATCATACTTACCAACTTTAATCCGACCGGTTTGAATCATTCGAACTTAAAACAGTGTGAAGCAAACTTGGATGCCATGTGGAATTCATAAACCGAAGTCTTTGTCACCTTAATCTCAATAACTCCACAACCTCATCCTTTGCACCATGACCTAATTTCAGGTGCTCTCAACTGAAGCAATGATGAAGGATTAATCATACTCCCTAGCATCTTGATTCTGAGGCATCCTTGACCCATACACTACCAAATCTCAATCTTGATTTTAACGTGATATAGTCAGAAAATCCACCGAGATATCTTCAACGTATTGATTCAAGAATGACCCAAGAATGAAGAATTTTTTTTTGAAAGTGGAGCCCATATCAAGTAGAAACTTAGGACAACCGTAAGTTAGGATCAACTGGTTATGTCCTAAAATACTTGACCGTGAGAATAAGTATTATCTCCACTTGAAATTTGACGCACCTGCACACGCTGGTTAGTGATAATAAGTATACACACAATACCCTATGACCTAAAAATGTTATGCAAGACGTTGCACAAAAGGTGGGATCTTAAGATTAAAAATTAGGGTGTGACATATGCTAATCATACTCCTTGAATAAGGAGGTCAATAGGCTTAGCCTTGGAGTTTAATCCACTTAATGACACTCCTAGCACCCTATTTGCACCCATTAAGAAAAGATGACAATTCTAGATTCCAACATGTGACCAAGCATGATCCTCTTTTCAAACACTTGTACTTAAATTTTTTCTAACAAATAATAACAAATTAATCTTGAATTTATCTTGTGAACGAAGTCACAAACTTTCTTTATTTAACCTGAGCTTGACAAATTTTCAAGAAAGAGTTATTAAGATAACAAAAGCAATAAGAATGGTCTCAAACCAAAGCAAGTACAAACCAAATTCTCATGGCCTAACCTTAGAGGATCATGGCCAAAGGCCAAATGATCACCCATTAAGCAGTGTAAATGCTTGCGACAAAAAAATAAAAGGTAAAATAAAATTGGAGTATGACAATCATATATTTATATCTCTTTGAAAATATGAGGTTGAAAAAAGAGAAGTTATGGCCTTAGGATACATTGAACTTATGGTCACCTTGGCAACAACCTTAAACGCAATAATATTCCTTGTTCATCTTAAGCTAAAAACCACACTTGTACATGTTATATTATCTTTACTTATTAGTCAAAAACCAATATTGAAAATTTTGGGAGCTCACCTAATATTCCATGACAAAGCTTAAAAACAAGTTATAACAGAACTGTCTAAAAAAACAAAAAAACATGATGTAACAATTCTTTGTTCATCTTTTTCAAAATGTACTTTTATTTCGAAAGAGAAACAGTTACTAACAGATGACTTTTATCATTGAAAAAACAAACATTATCAACAATTGAGATTTCTTTTTTTATCTCTGAAAGTTTATTATTTAACAAAAAAATCAAATCAAATCCACTAATGAAAAGGCATAAAGCTCCACCCGTGACACCATATACTGCCATTCCATGTTCACGGGTTCATAACAACATATACTTTTAGAGTCATTTTCTTCTATAAATAAATTCTAAAATCCATACATAGTTTCACACCTTAACCACAACACAACAACCACATTCATTGAGTTAGAACCAAATTAGTGTTACATTATTTATGAAGAAACAACAGATGAAGTTGGTTTCACTTCTTCTTCTGGTGGTGCTCATGATGTCTTGTATGTTGAAACTTTCCAACGGGATCAGTTTATGTAACATGAACGAAGATGGCCTTGATGCTTGTAAGCCATCAGTAACACAGCCAGAACCAACTAAACCAACTCCAAAATGCTGTGAGGCTCTTACTGGTGCTGATTTGCAATGTCTTTGCTCTTATAAGAACTCAGCAGAGTTACCTTTACTTGGAATTGATCCAACTCTTGCTGCTTCACTTCCTAAAGAATGTGATCTCACTCCTCCAGCTAACTGTAGTTAAGATTCATTTATATATAGTGTGTGGCTTTGTATGTGTTTGTGTTTTATTTTGATTGCGTCTCTTATTGTTTGTTTGTGTTTTTCTTTGCAACTTGTATAAGTATGTTTACTTTTTCTCTATGTTATTTCTAGAGGAAAATGTTGGCTGAGTTAGTAGTTATGATAAATTTTAGGTAAAATGTATTCAAAGATCCTTTAAGGTATTAATTGTATTTTAATTTTATTTTTTAATGATGTGGATCTATTAATAAGTATGTTAACCTTTCAAACACATTTTTCATTGACCGCAAAATAGTATCAACACATGATTTAAGTGGATTATGTCTATCCTTAAATGAAAAAAAAAGTGATAAAATGGAATCCGTTTCACATGTCAGTTTTTTTCCAGTAATTTAGTGCGGGGCGGATTAAAGATTTAGACCCTCATCTTCTAATATATATGTCGGTTTTCTTCGTGGGTTATTGCGAGCGCGGACATTTACATAATTTTTTTTCATTTTTAGGCTTAAAAGGTATTATAGTATTTGCGGATTTTCACGCCCCACCCTCACATTTTGGTGGGGCGGACATAAGTTCTAGACTCGCATCCTCAACTATACTCGCACTGCCCTACCTCATTTTTTCACGGGTTTTTGCATAACAAATCTAAATTGGGTGGGCATGCCCGTTTGCCACCCCTATCTATAAGCACAAAATTTATTTCGACAAAAAAATTTAATCTAAAATAGAACACCGCATAAGATGTCCCATTTTGTACGTGTATACTTTTTTGTATAAAAAAATTTGATTTAACAAAAGGACTCTATTTTTAGTCGATGTGGGACTTTACTTGTGCCACATCACTAGCCTTGATCCACACTCAGATCTATTTCCACTCCCCCACCGAGCCTAACCATGGTTTAATACCACTTATTGGGGAGACATGGGAGTGTTTGTCAAAAGTGTCAATGTGCCAAACATTTGGAATCTAAGAGACTTTGATACTATATATCCACCTAAAACTTTAAGGCATTAGGGGTGTAAGTCTTTTCTCTTATAAACCCAACATTTTCTCTATTTCTAATCGATTTAGGACTTTACCTACACACACTTGAATCCCAACAATCTCTCCCACAAGTGTGAGTCACCTATATCACTAATCTTGATCTGTAGTAGGATCCACTTTCGCTCCCCCGCCGAGCCTAACCAGAATCTAATACCATTTATTGGGGAGTCCGGGGAGCGAAGCGCCGGGAGTATCAATGGCCAAAAATTTCAGAATCTAACAGAGCTTAACACCACATATCTATCCAAAATTTATGGTGGGGGGGGGGGGGGGGGGAGGGGGCGCTCTTTCCACAATTAGTGATGCCTCTCACACCCTTGGAAACCCGAAAATGCCCTCCGTGTATCTAGAGATGCATCTCCGGACCCATCCAAAATCACACCAATCTTTGCTTTTATGATATTCAACACATGGTCCGGAGATTCAACACACACTGCGTATTTAACTCGGATTGTGTAACGCCCCGATTCTGAATTTCCCATTTTTGCTGAGTCTTTTAATTGATTTTAATTGAATTATTCTTTTAGTAGTAGAATTTGAACATGAATATGTTATGTATGCTTATTATGTTATTTTATTATCCGGAGAGTTTTGAGAATTAATTAGAGGGTGTTTTAGATAATCCTTAATTAGTAGATATTTGAGAGAAATAGAATAGAAAGAGTATAAGTGGAATTAGAGAGAAAAGAAATGAAATGGAAAGGAAAGAAGAAGAGAAGAGAAAAGAGAAGAGAAAAGAGGAGGAAGAGGAGAAAAACCTAGAATCATCAAGAATCAAACTTCTAAGCTTCGATTAATCGGGTAAGGGTGTGAAACTTTATTATTCTTTCGATGTATACGATTATGTATGTTTCTATTGGTTTGTTTTTGGATTGGAGAGGGAGTTTTATTCATTTTCCGTTTTAGGACGAATTTGAGTAAATCGTTAGAAACCGAGTTTTCACGGTTAAGAGTGAGAATGAATGGTAGAATTTAGTTGAGGAACGTCAGACTAAGCTGCTGAGACGAGTTGGTATTGAATCAGGTAGATTTCGATGAGTTTCGGAGTTTTGGACAGTGGAGAATTCTGATTTCGCAGACCCTCGCTGGCACATTCGCTAGGCGAGCAGGTCGCGAGCATTCGCTGGGCATTCACTAT